TGGGATTGCCTGTATGCCACGCACTCCGTAAGAGTATGCCAAACCTGTTCGAGAGATACCGTCATCTCCAGTGTGCATATGAGGAACCTAAGCCTGGGTGTGTTAAATCCTCCCCCAAGGATAGAGTCATAAAGGAGCCTGGGTGGGGTTGATGCCACAGCCTGTCCTGAAACTAACCCCCTAGTCTAGCACAGAGCTGGGCACTGCAGGCCTCTGGGAGAGTTGCAGAGAACTTGAGATGGTTTTCCACCATCCTCAATTGGCTGGCAGAGTTCCAGCCTGGAGCGTCTTTCCTGAGAGCATGGACGCGTTCAGTTCTTTGCATTCTGCTCTGTCCTGGTAGGAGTACAGGCACTGCATTCCCTGCCATAGGTTTCTGCTAAAGCGTGTAGCATAGGGCTCTGTATCAACAGATGCATTTTCTGTCCTTGAAAAAAAACATAGCAGAGTCACCAGACTTGACCTATCCTGACCCATGTATATTGAGAGCTATTTTTCTTAACACCCTATTCTATAGACATTGTTAGTGTTGACCAGTTTTTGCTTTTGAGCCCAGTGAGTTTGGGAGTCCGTGAATTCCAGCAGCGGAGGCAGAAGTTGCTTGTTTGGCAGTCACCTGTCATCCTTTCTCTGGTAGGCATTCATCCACTTGTCACAACGTTTTGTGAGGAGCCGAACAGGGAGGCTTAAGAAAAATGCTTTACTCTTGTCTTGATGATAGAAAGCATTTCTCATTGCTGGTAGCATGGTGGTAACTTTTCATTCCTTCTGGCAGTTTTTAAAGACTTATTTGACTTTGGGGGAACCTGCAGTATATCTTTAAGGCACAGTTCAAAAGTATGAGACAGAGCTGTTCATTTTCAATTTTGGCTGAAAAGTCTTCACTTTGACAGTGGCGCTTCAAAGTTAGGGAAAACTTGGCTTTAAAAATGGATGCTGATACAAGATGGCATATTTAATGACAAATGTATCTATAGAAAGCTGTTAAGATGCAGATTATCCCCCCCTGGGGTGGGGGAGGGAGATCAAAACTGCCAATCTATAAAATGTACTCAATAGAGGGAGGCATAGAATCTATCTTTGCAAGTGCTTTGATTGCAGGGGACAGTATAGCAGCATGTGGCATCATAACCCAGAGCAGGCAAATCAGCTTGATGACTTTCAAAGCCAGGAATACTGCTGCAGGCAAGGGTACTCCAGTCTAGGAGAAATTAAAACATATAGAGACTGTTATTAATTCCATATCTATTTTTGTATAGTCAAATCTGTATGCAAATCCTTAGCATCTCATTTCAGCAGATTAATCTAAAAGTGAAGAGTGTTATGTGAAGAGAATGTAATGATAAGCTGTGCACATAACGCTGCTAAAGATGTGTGGGCTGCTTTTTTAAAATTTATTTTTTGTACCAAGAAGAAATGGTTTTTGTGTGATCGTTTGTAAATTATTTCAAAGGAGGAAAACAACAGGACCAATTTCTAAGATTTTTCCCTTGCAGTACTGACTTGGCAAAAGTTACAGCACTGGGTTTGTTAGGCACCTCCCATGGTTTAACATTCCAGAAGTCATCAACCAAATAACTAACTAGGAATTTTATGTTTACTTCCACCTAGTAACCCAGTATTTCATTTTTAAGCATTGTCATGTGAGTGAAAATTTGAATATAAGGGTAAGGAATCTAATTACCGCGTGCAGATTAAGGGAAAAAAAACTATTACGAATGCATCTGTAGAAGAGAGTAAATAATAATTCTGAAGAGCATGAAGATAAATTGTATGCTTTCCTTAGGAGAGAGGATGTAATAGCTACATTCTAATCCATTGGTTGTACATTTAATCTATAATGGGCAGACTCTGATACATATAGTAGTATAAATATTTTCCAATACTGTCATAAACAGATAGTTGACTGCAGTAGATATTAATTCCATCCCATATTTCTAACACAAGGAGGAAAACCGTCAAAATTTTGAAATTATGGGTGGGAGCTTTGCCCTCTGCTCCCTCTCATTTGGAGAAATGATTATAGGCGAGCTGGACATTAATCTGGTGGTTATGGCCCAGATCAAAAGCACTTGGCAATCATTTTAACCCTGAAGACTTGTGAGGTCTCAATAGATTTGATTATTCTTGTGTTGTTAGTTATGCTGAGAAAGAATTATTGGACATTCAATTTTTAATCAGATAAGAAAAGGAAGGTTGGGAAGGAAACAAATATGCCTCTGTATTTATTTGGACATACATTTTGACTCTGTAGGCATTTCAGCACAGCTTTCTTAAGTGTATTTTCTTTTCCTACAGTTTTATTTTAAAATGAGACATTCCATAGGAAATGCTGAGAAGACTTTCTTTGAAGGCAGGAACCTCGTTTCTCTGTTCCTTGTGGACTTACTCTGCAGATAAAGCTTTCATTGATCTTAAAAGTAGTTGCAGGCTTCAGGGAGAATATTTAAAAAAAATTCCCTCCAGTTAATAAAAGCCATGGTCAGTTATATGAAAGATGTAATCTCCTTATTGGGGTTGAATGAGAGAGTAATGATTGGCCTGGACAGGTTCCCTTCCCTTTATGTATCCCTTAATATTGATGGATTGTTCTGGCTTAGCTGAGGGTGTGCACTAATACTCTGGTTTCCGGTTGGCTTGACTCCTGGCCATGGAGTTGATGGTGGGGACCTATTCAAAGTATATGAGCCATCAAAGGAAAAATTATACTGGACAAAGTTAAGCAGAGAAGGAAGACTTGTCCAAGACTATTGCAGTAGGGGAGGGAGACCAAAATGCAGCCTGAAATAAACTCTGAAGAACAAGAGGCTGTAGAGTTTTTTAAGCACTGGGGTGAGCTAGTAGAAAAGTACTGAAGGAGTTTTGGAGCAAGGTTGATCAATGTGATATATTGAGCACATTTAGTTACCCCTGATTTTATAAATGTTTTTCTCTGTGATTAGGCTATTCGTGTTTTCTGATTGGCACCCAGCAATGTGAGGCTCCTACCTTCCATAGAAACTGGGAGATAGTGACATTAACTTCCTTGATGATTACATTTCAATGGGATGGCTCCTAGAGCTGGGAGGGATATCTTCCAGGGTTGTAAAACTTGCAAGAAGCTTCTTAAGTGACTTCTACCTCAAAGAGGCAGAGACAGAATTTACAGGTTCTCTAAAGTGAGAGCTCAAAGAAAAGGGAGGTCAGGGGCCTAAGAGACACAAGGAAGCCTGTCTAAAGTTTAGTCAAAGTAAGAAAAACATTAATACTGTTTTGGTCATTATGTACATACTTTTGAATTAAAAAATTTCAGTAGGAAACAGTTGTAGTGTGGCTCAGTTTTAGATCTTTATTGCAAAATTAGCTGCTTCTGTGTGATACTTATTAAAATGTTATTTATTTTATACAAGCATCTAGAACTATGTATAAGGCAAAAATCTCTAAAGAGATTTTTATTTGGGAGGGTAGTTCTCATAGTCTAGTTATTTTATTACCTAACATTTAATATCTACTAGTATTATTTTCTTATGGTGTTGATTTATGTTTTATAGTTTTTCCATTTGGTGGTAAAAACTAAAGTAGAATCGGTAGTTTCTGGGTTTTACGGGATTCAGTGTATACCACAAACATGAAAATATGAGGACGGATAGGAGAAACTTTGTTAGAAAGGTAATGATTATTTAGTGGTTCTTGACTAAGCAGAAGGTCTTGAGTCTTTTGGATCTAAGCACTTGTCAAGAAGGCTTTAGAAAAGTTGCTAACAACTAAACACTGTGCTCTTACTCATATGGGGCTTAGTGAACACTTGAAATATGGCTAATTTGGATTGAAATGTGCCATGTCAAATATACATTGGGATTTGAAGACAGTATGAAAAAAGGAACATAAAATAGTTCCAAGTTTTATATCAATTTCACATTGAAATGATAATATTTTGGCTATGTTGAGTTAAATAAAATTAAATTTATATTAAGTTTACTTTCACTATTTCTTTAAAAATTTTTTTTGAATGTTTATTTTTGAGATGGGGGAGGGAGAGGCAGAGAGAGAGGGAGACACAGAATCTGAAGCTGGCTCCAGGCTCTGAGCTGTCAGCACAGATTCCGACGCAGGGCTCGAACCCACAAACCACGAGATCATGACCTGGGCTGAAGTCGGATGCTTAACCGACTGAGCCACCTAGGCACCCCCTACTTTCACTTTTTTTTTTTTCGTTTTGTTTTTAAGGCTTATTTATTTATTTTGAGAGGGAGAGAGTGTGCACATGCACTTGCATGCACGAATAAGGTAAGGGCAGAGTGAAGAGTGAGAGAGAGAATCCCAGGCAGGCACCATACTGTCAGCGCAGAGCCTGATGTGGAACTCCATCCCATTAATCACAAGATCATGAAGTGAGCTAAAACCAAGACCTGGACGCTTAACTGACTGAGCCACCCAGGTACCCATCTTTTTAGCTTTTAACATGGATACTGGGGAATTTAAAATTACTTCTGTGATTCACATTGGTGGCTCTTATATTCTTTTGGACAGCTTTGGCTCAAAATTCTTTTGATAAGTAATGTCTTTCCTTAGTGTTTCTTCCAAAGAGATATCAAGACATCACTGTGTTAGTATACAGAAGGTTAGAGCTATAAAAATGCCAGTTTAGCTAAGGAAAATAATTTTTCATATAATTCTGTCCAGGGCATAAATTGTACAGAGTTTTGTCTATGTGTGTTATGTTCATTCCCTGCCATACTTTGCCCCTCATTCTGGCCATGCAGAGCAGCTTGTCAGAATTGGGGCCTCTTGGTAATCTCAGCATACTTGTTGCTTGCTCTCAACTGGATTGCTTCTAAAATGTTTCTTGAAAATGAAACTGCTTCAACAATAAGCTTCTTAATTATGTCATGGGTTCACCACGAGGGTATACAAATAGATCCTCAGCAGTAGCTAATTTTCCTTTAATTGTATCTCATTCTTATGTTGGAATATCCTATTTTGTATTCATGAAAGCTCTAACACATGTTAATCCATTACAGGTGGAGTAACTAACACAGCACAATATCAGAACAGACTAATGGTATATGAACCTAACCAGGTAAGAATCATATAAGAAAAACTCATTACCTTAATTAAAATGAATTTTAAAAGATTTCCACCATAATTAGTAGTTGAAATGCCAAGTCTGTACACACACGTGGATCTTAAACTTATATAGAGAAATGGAAGCATCTGGATAAATTGCCTTTCGGTGGCTTTTTTTTCCCCCTCACAAAACCTCAGCTCCTTTAGTTTTATGCTGTACACAATGCTTAACTGTTTCAGAGTTTTGCATAATGTAGGAAGAAGGGTAAGTATGTTGACGAGTTAATGCTTTATTTCCATTATCTCAAGTGACTATTTATATTCAGAGGCATCCAAAGGAAGGATTTTGATTGACCTGTTGCTATGTCCTTTTAGAAGGCATGTCCTTCCAAGAAGGGAACATGCCTATTGTTTCATTTCTCCCAAATAAAATAACAACTTTTATTTAACTCAGTATAGCCAGAATGTCCTTGTCCAGGACAAGTATGGAGTAGAAGTATCCGATAAGCGTGTGTATTTCATCTAACAAATGGTGCCTGAACTGCAAATATTTTAATGGTGTCTTTCCCTTCTTCTGTCCAGTTGTCATATACACTCAGTTACTTTTTTGTCCCCAAAAGAACTATTTAAACATTTTTTTAAATGTTTATTTATTTTTGAGAGACATGGACAGAGTGTGAGCAGGGGAGGGACAGAGAGAGAGGGAGACACAGAATCCTAAGTAGGCTCCAGGCTCTGAGCTGTCAGCACAGAGCCCAACGTACCATGAGATCATGACCTGAGCTGAAGTCAGACGCTCAACCAACTGAGCCACCCAGGCTCCCCAAAGAAGAACTATTTTTACTCACTTTTCCTTCTACCAAAATAGCTGTGGCCTTGGCAAATGTTTTCAGAATTTCACAATGTGTATGATTTTGTTAATGTAAATATTTTTCATGATTATGACAGTATTCTAAAAATATTTGAACTGGGAATTTAACATTTATCAGCTAGAGATAACAGAACAGTAAACAACAGGTTAGCTTTGGTAGCCTGAGTCAGGATTGGCCACCAAATGAGCATCCTGAATGACTTCAGTTGGCTTGGTATCTTTTTATTTCAACGTGATTTGATTCTGAATTTAATGAAGGTATTTCTCTCTTTGCAAGTGTGTTTCCTGATGTCATTAGAAGCTGTAGATTTCAGAGACCACATGTCCATGGGCCAGATGTCTCAAGAGGGATCATTAATGGCAGTTACTTGAGTTCGGTGCACACGTGGTTAAAGAGGAAGAAGGTGTTAACATTTCTCAAATGAGTTCTGTTTCATGTTTGTATACACATGCTCTTTTTAAAAATTCTGCTGGCATATTGTTTATGGTGGGTACTGGCAAACATCACATCTGCTTGCATCTTGCTCAGAATCTCAATAACTCTATCATTCAGCCCTGGTGCTTATTTCTCTTCTAGGCCTTTGTGGAGAGTCGATAATGCCTGCCATCTGCCACAGAGCACATCGCTACCTGCCAACAGGCAGGCTGGGGTGACCTCTGCTTCCCCACCACTGATTAGTATTCACACGCTAGCTTATTAGGAATGACCCCACTAGGCCTCTCTGTTTCTTTGCCTTTGCAGCGGTTGGCGGCTCACCTGGCAGGCACGGCAGTGAAGGAAGCTAAAGATATAATCAGGGGATGCAGGCAGGCTTTATAAACCAGATGGCGTCCACAGCCCTGTGGCAGGGGACCGGACTGCTAATGCACACATTGATTCCTAATAGTGGAATAGGTTGCCTCATAGAAAGCACCGGAGGAAAGCATCATCAGAGTTTTGAGTTAAATCCACTCATGTAAAGTGTATTGAAGATATTTCTTCGCAGAATATCTGAAAGAAAGGTTTGGCTACTTTATTAAAGATGACATTTGATTGGAAGGAGATTCTTAGGATATGTTTAAAAAGGGGGAGGAAATCAGTGCAAGCCCTTCGAACCGTTCTTTTTTAAGTTTATCTTTAAAAGAGGAATTAGAAATGAACTGGTAGATAGGCCTTTAGTGAATGGACCAATATTTATATAAGCTTTTTTCTTTTTGCTTATCCGGTTATAGCTTTGTAAGCTGGTGAAATTCTATGTATTCAAAACATCATATGATTTTTTTTTAGTCAAAATCCAAATTTTTCTTGGCGAAAGGAATCTGGGTTCTTCCTGTAGTTTAGTGTTCATGTAGAAAGGAAATGGTTAAGTTTGCTTACCTGTTGATTACTTAGTTGAGATTTAAAATTAAGGTCATATTTGATTTTCCTCTAGTGTTGCAGTTTACAATACATTTTTGAAAGGAGCCGTATTTAAAGGGGAGTTGAGCATGTCTTTCCCATTACTAGCATGACCCAGGACCAAACAGTTGAGGTTTAACCATTCTTGAAGTTGTATAAAAGTTGGCTTTCTACCAAAACAAACAAACACGTGCCTAGAAATAACTTACCCCAGTTTGGTAGAAGATGTGATTATAAATATGAATTTATAGATGTGATTATAAGATGATATGATGTGAAGATGATGTGAAGATGTAATTATAAATATAAATACAGAGGCCACATGGAACTTTGTTGTGGAACAAGATCTTAGCTCTTCCATTGATCTTTGAAGGTAAATTTTGGACAGAACAGCAAAGTCACTTCAATCCCACCTTATGTAGAGGCCTTGGGTAGCCAACGATTATTATCACAATAATTTTTTTTGAAGTGCATTTTGATTGATTGGACATTTATTATGTGGCAGTCACTCTTTTAAATGTTTCATGAGTCTTAACTAATTTAATCCTCACAACAAGCTTGTCAGGTAGTGTGTGGCTCTTCCCACTTTACAGATGAGGAAACAGGCACAGTGAGGTTAAATTAATTGCTCGAGGTGACACAAGGTTATAAACTTAGGCATTCTGGATCCAGAACCTGTTTTCTTTCTTTCTTTTTTAATGTTTCATTTATTTATTTGGGAGGGGGCCACAGAGAGAGAGAGAGAGAGAGAGAGAGAGAGAGAGGGCAAGCAATTCCCAAGCATGTTCTGTACCATCAGCACAGAGCCCAAAGTCAATGAACTCTGAGATCATGATCCAAAATCATGAGTCGGACACTTAACCAATTGAGCCACTCAGGTGCCCCAAGATCCGTTTTCTTAATTATTACACCTAGCCAGGTGCTTTCACTTTTATGCAATTTGCATGAGTAAGTTCTCTCATTTGGGTGAGACAACCATCATGAAAACTCTATTCTCATGGGCTCCCGTTATAAAATGAAAAATGCCCCATAAAATGCAACCCCAACAAGACGAAATGCCTTATGTAAGTTGCAAAATAAAGTTGGAATATGTGGTTCTTCTGCACTTGCTCTCAGGTACGACACCCATACCTTTCAATCTGTGAGCAACATTCAACCAGAATGTGATTGACACACATTAGAGTCCCGGCTACTAATGAGGCACTGCTGTTTTCTGCCATGGAGGTCTCCTGTTAACAGAATTCACCTGAATTTCTTCTCCTCCCCTCTTCCCCCAGAATAAATGGATAAGCCGCAGTCCTATGCTGCAGAGAAGGGTCTACCATTCCATGGCTGCTGTTCAAAGAAAGCTTTATGTTCTTGGAGGCAATGACCTGGACTACAATAATGACCGGATCCTTGTGCGGCATATAGATTCTTACAACATAGACACTGACCAGTGGACGCGTTGTAATTTCAACCTGTTGACTGGCAAGTACCTTTGACTAAGTAAATCAGGAAAAGCAGAGATTCAAGAAATTGCCACATTTGTTTTCTTAAACGTCTTTGGTGCATCTCTAAATATCAAGTGCCTGGTGGCAGAACACCTTGCTTTTATTAACCAGAAAAGTGCTCATTATTTATCTCACAAAATGTCACTCAGTCAGGTGGCTGAGCTAGTTTCTCAAGGCACCTCTTACCTTCGTGCATCTTCTCACTTGGCTGAGAGAGGTATGTCAAGTTATTTCTTGTCAGTAAGTATTCACAGAGGAACTTTGTACAGTTAAGAGGAACCAAAGAATTAGGAACTCTTTGCAGAAGCGGTTTTTTCTCTTTTCACTTTTGGTCCTCTTATGTGTTTTGAGTTTAGGAGTAGGGTCTTCCCTATTACTGTCACATACGGTTTCTGGCTGTATTCTCCTAACAACGAACACTTAGAGCAGGTCTATGCCTCAGGGTTTGGTGGTGTTTCTGGCCACATAGCTCTTCAAGCATTATCAAGGGTAATGCTAGGTATGAACCCTCCTCTCAACAGGGAATAAAAGGAAAGTCATGAACAACTTACCCCTGACGTTTCTCTACGGAGTTGAAAACCTTTCCCTTGTGGACTTGCATTATAAACCGCCAAGGGGATCAGGTCCTTTCCAGGCTGCTGTACTGATAGGAAAATCACAAACCCAGAATGGTGGGCTGGACTAGCTCCTGAGAACATCTCAGTATGCTGAGTGGATGCTCAACCACTCACGGCTATTGCTGGGGAAGCAACACTGAGTACAGAACCAATGTGAAAGGGTTAGCTGCCTTGTGTGGAGCTCTTGTTTTTGTGAAAATGATTTTAGGGCCCACCTACAAGGACTTCAGTCTCTCTGAGTTGCTATAGTAGCACCTTAACCCCTCGGTCCCTGGATCTGGGATTCTGGCCGCCAAAGGATCCATCTTATTTATTACCGCAGTCAATCCTGTGTCAGCCCATCAATAAAAAGAGACTATCTCACTCTCTGATGGCCTCCAGGGAAGAATATGTGGTAGTGAGTTATTCTGTCTTCTTTTTTAAATGGGGGAGGAACCTTTCATCATTTTGGCGTGTCAGTATCTAGGGACTACCCCTATTGGTCCCAGATTGGGAACTTTAATATAGTCTTAAAATTGTTGTCTATGTAAAGAAAAGGAGGGTAGTAACTTTATCGGTCTTTTCTGTCATTTGTCTTCATTTGGGGGGACAGTGGGGGCATGGCTCTGTCTTACTGGCGTCTTGGGGTTGCAGCTGTTACTTTACAAATGTAAGCACTTGCCCTAGAGCATTTGTAGATACAGGAGGTATTTTGCATTTTGAAAATATACCTTATTTCTGCCCCTGTAAGTTAATGGCATACAACATAGTATAGAATTCTTATTTTGTTATTGCTTATTATTGCTGCATTTAAAGCTGTATTTCCTAACTTGTCTGGCTAGTGTGTGTTTTGGCTTGGTTCTGACCTGACACAAATTCATTCTCTGTGAAGGAGTGGTTAATTCTTCTGAGTACTGGCAGGCAGCGATTAGTTGCTGTGAAAATCCTTGTGGAGCATACAAATGTGCCACAGGGGGAAATTGTATCCCTCAGTGGCAAAAGGGTTAATTAAGACATGCAAGGAAAATAGATTTATTTTTTTCTTTTCATTCAATTCTCTTACTTTAGGCCAAAATGAATCTGGAGTTGCTGTCCATAATGAGAGAATATATTTAGTTGGTGGATATTCGATTTGGACGAATGAGCCTCTGGCTTGTATCCAGGTGAGTGGTTGAAGTTCCTTTTGAAGTTCGCTCAGGTGGTTCAGTGAGGTTACTTTTTGCAGTGCTACTACTGAAGGAAGAGGTATTTACTCCTAGAAAGAGGTTTGAGGTCCCTTTGTGTAGCTAGTTCAATCACTAAACTTCATCCTGCTTCCTAAAAATAATACCGAATAAATGATCAAGCTCTACTGAAAATAAAGATGAGGAAGAGCTTTGAAAATATATACAGTAAAACCTTAGATTGAGCGTAACTTGTTCTGGGAGTGTTCTGCAAGGCTAGCAATCATTTCTAATTTTAACTTGATAAACCGAGTGGTGTCTTGCAATACAAGTAGTACATGACGCCAAATGTCACATGATCACAGCTGATCACATCTGAGCCAGTGGTTCTTGAAATTTACTTTGATATATGAGTGCTTTGGATTACAAGCATGTTTCCAGAACAGATTAAGCTTGCAAACCAAGGTTTTACTGTATAATATATTCTGGAAATGGGGAAAGTGCGCTACCTTTCTTTTTCTTCTAAACCAAGAAAGTCTAGAATAAATAGCACTTTCACACTCCCAAAACTTTACAAATGCCTCCTTTCCACTCCATTGGTTTATTTTCTGTGTTTCAATTTGTTCATTTCAATCAATCACACCTACTAAGATGTTTTCCTTCCTGGTAGAAGTTGTGAACAGTGGTGGTTTATGATTAGCCTGATGGAGATAGCCTCTGCCCCAGGGAACAGCCCTGGCATATCAGCAAGTGAACAGCCCAGCAGGGGCAAATTGCCCCGAGCTTCAGAACAACAACAGCTTTTGCTGATATGCTTATTAAAAGTTTTATTTTTTACAATTCTTACCATAGTTTTTCTGTTTTAAATGTTCTTTGATGTTGTTGACATGTATTAGGCTTGATTTTTCTCTTGATCTCTGGAAAAATACATATCCTTAGAACTACTCTTATTATCTAACCTTACTCTTGGGGTAATTTTTTAACCACTACTTCATTATCTTTAATAGTTGCAGGACTATCCAAGATTTTAGTTTTTTCTTTTTTCTTTTTTTTTTTTTTTTTTACAAATAGTTTATTGTCAAATTAGTTTCCACATAACACCCAGTGCTCATCCCCACGAGTGCCC